GTTGTTTTAAGGGGTCTTGAGAGGGGGGGGCTCAGACAGGACTCACCTGGAGAGGGGGGGGCTAAGGTAGGACTCACGCTTTATTTAATTTACAGATTAACATTTTCAATATTGTCTTAAAAAAAGAAACCACGTTGTTCTGTTTTTTATCGTTGTGTAAAAAATGTAATAAATTGGTTAAATGTGAGAAATGTTTAATTACGTCTGAGGAATAAGAAACAAAGAAATGTGTCTATTTTTAAAAGTATTTGATAAAACAATGAAAACTGATTCTGATGATTGATGTGCAGACTCAGAATCCCTTTATGTGTCCAGTTATGATGTACGGTAAGTGTATTATGCAGATGAAGCACAAACTGTAGACTCAGATATTATATTAAAAAGTATGCATTATTAATAATAAAGAAATAGACAACAGATAAGAGCAGCATGGTGGCAGTGCAAATAAAAAGAGTTGTTATTTTAAACCTTAATGACAGTTAATATTTAATTAAATATATATATTTAGTCTACTGTGAACCCAGACATGTTGAGGACCCCAAGGTTTTATGTTGGAAATGTTTAGCACAAGTTGCGTTAATTAGCATTAATTTGCGTATGGAGACAATAGTTAAAAAGTGGCTTTGCCGATTTGGACAATTTCGAGTGGCTTTTGAGGATGTTGAATCAATTTCTCACATTTTCAGTATCAAACTTGGCCAGAAAAATCTTCATATCTGTATCTGTAGTCCCTAGGGGCTGGTTTTAGTGAATTTTCGGTTGATTTTGAATTTTAGGGGACTCTGGATCATTTGGATTGGAAGAATCGGTTGAATTGGTAGAGGTAATCATTTTCATCTTGTGCTCTCTATATCCAAAGCCACTTATGTTAGGCAGCATCAGCCAATCAGAAGTCATTGATGATCCTGAGAATGGATTCAGCTTCCTCAATAACACCCAACACACTCCAAAACTGTTCAAATCACCCAAGACATGTTTGATCTATTGTCTGCAGAGGCTTAATAATGCTAATTAATGCAACTCATGTTAATTGTGTAAATGTCCCAACATCTGCAGGTTAGCATCCGGCAGTTTCTATGAGCTGGAGACCCTACTGTACATTTCTATCATAACACTTTGGGGTCCTCAACATTTCCTGGTTCACAACAGGACTCTATGAGCTGAAGACAGACGGTTATTGGACTGGACTTTTGTTAAAGGTCCCATGTCATGGCCATTTCTATCATAATTCCATTGTTGAGGTCTACTAGAATAGATTTAAATTGTGCAATGTTCCAAACTCACATTGGTTTCTCATACAGCATCTCTGTATAGTATGTGTATTCACTCTCTGTCCTAAACGGCTTGTTGGAGCTCCTGCCCCCCCCTCCCTGTGAGCCCAGTGTGCTCTGATTGGTCGGGACATTGCGAGGCTCGCTGCTCAGTGAGCTGGCTTACTGGTGTGGTTTCCGGGTCGGCGATACAGAGAGAACAAGCGAAACTCATCCTGAGCACACACAAACACTCACAGCTGAAGTAAAAACAATAAGTGTGGCTTGATATTGAGTAAGAAAAAGGTTTATAACGCTGTGAGAATGGGTCTGTGGAGAGCATTTCTCCACCATCCCAACTCGTCTATTACCAACCAGGGAGCTCTATGCAAGTCAATGGGACTCCCTGGGTGTTTCTCAATCTCGAGTAAAGCTGCTTCAGAGCCACTATTTCAAGCATACTACGTCATCGAGTGTCGCCGAAGGACTGTTCCAATGTCCAGCATACTTGGAAATCTACCGAGCCCGGCGTACTTCGTTTTGAGAAATTTCGAGGCTGCACATGTGTAGACTCCGCGGTCTTAAAATCCCCACAATGCTTTGCGCACGGACCAATTTCCCCAAATCTGTGGCGGAAGATGTAAGGCGGGGCCTCTCATATGACGCACACCTGCACACTTGCTCGCCTGTTCCACTCTTCGTTTTCCGAATGCCAGGAAGTATTCTTGCCTCGCTTCTGAAGCAAGATGCTCGGAAGACATGTGCTACCAAGCAAGCGTACTCGACATTGAGAAACACCCCCTGTTAGTTGAAAATGTACGCTCAAGGTCCCCCCACTGCGTTTGATAGTAATGCCAAGGGATCCTGGTGTGTGAGGAGCTCCGCGGATTGGTCCATTTTGGTGATGTCATGACGTCGTGAAACATTATATACAGATTATAATTAGTTGTACCTGGATCATTGTTAGTAAATGATGTGGAAAAAAGGGCGTTATTTATATTTAAAATCCTCATTGTCTGCAAATAAAAATGTAAAAAAGATTCTCATTTGATGTCAACATTATTATTATTATTTATATTATTAAGGCGCACTAATGTTTAGGAGTGAAATGAAAATGAAAACTGAACTTTTTGTCAATTTAATGATTTAATTTCTGTTTTGCAGTTATTTCGTTTTACCCAAAAAAGTACCAGCAGTCGTTGAAGATTAGAAATGTCTCTCTTGATAATTAATATTTAATGTTAGCAGCCGGACTTCCTCTCCGTTTTGTTGACACCAAAACACGCATTTGATTTATAAAGGTTTATTATTATGAAGCAAGAGAAGCCAAAGTTGTGCGTACGATAAAAGTTATCTCAATAAAACACAGTTAAGAAACTAAAAATGATTTCAGCAACTCTCCAATAGACGGGATATCAAATGATGAAATCAGACCTGGGTTAAAGATATTTAATAAAATCACTTTTATTTCCATTTTTTTGCCCCAAAAATCAGAAGAAGACATTTTTCTTATTGTATATTTAATTTTTGGACTCATGTGACTACTGATTTTTTCAAATAACTGTATTCTATTTAAGGATTACATATACTTTAATAAGAAAAATGGCTCTTTTACAAATATAGGTTTACTAAACAAAATGTTGGTGTTTTTACAAATGTTTCTAAAAGTCTTGATAAAAGTGAGATTTTTATTTACACACACACACACACACACACACACACACACACACACACACACACACACACACACACACACACACACACACACACACACACACACACACAGAGATCATCATCATCAGAAAGAGCAGAGGTCACTGACTAGAAGCAGCTTCCTGGAGACGTTCAGCGACTGACCTGTATTCATTGATCTGGCCTCATTGCTGTAATGTGTAATTCACGTGGATTTAACAGTACCGCATAGTTTAGCAAAGTGATCGATCTCCCAGCGAGCGCTGTCTGTGTAGTATTTTGTAACGTAACGTCCCAAACAGCGCCCGTCTGTTAAACGCTATCGATTCAAACGGCAGCGTTTTATTAATATTTTGTTTCAAACTCTCGTAGTAAAAACAAAACTAGTGGAAGGGGAAATGCTCCCAGGGGAAGCTGATCCACCTTCAGACGCGGGTACAGCTCGTTCCCTCTCCTCTCTCTGTGAGCCGCGGTCTGTGTGAACGCCGCTCCGCAGTTTAATGCAGGGCCGTAGCTGCGTTTTTAACGGGCCTAAAATGATATTTAAAATGATTCACTTTTAATTAATGAACTGCTTGTTTCGTTGATTGAGAATCTTGTGGACATAGTGTAGGTTTGTTTCTACAAGTACAGTTTTAGGGACACAAAAGCTAGGGGGGCAGCTGGGGGGACAAGGCTCTACAGTGGGGGGGCAAGGGGGGGCAGCTGCACCCCCGTAGATCCGCCCCTGATAGTAGGTAATTATATCTAAAACCACAAGACGTTAATTACCTGTACTCGCTGCGCCATATTGTCTGTTCTCTCTGTAAACCTCCAAGTCTCTTTAAATATCCTTGCGTCAGCGTCTCACGTTTTGGGCGCGCTCTCTTCTGACCATATTTGGAAGTACAACTTCCTACAACTTCCTACAGGTTCAACCTCCACCGTCTTGCTGCGGCTGCAACAATAAAGACGTTAACGTTTATTTACTGGAGTTTTTTTCAACGTGAGTCTTATTTTTGTAGCTCTAACTTCCTGTTGCTTCTGTTTTCAAACCCTTTAGAAAATAGGATCATACTGTAGTGATCACTGATTCATACACTGGGGTTACATAATTCAATCCAGGAACTACAGGTTGGGGGTATTGTTTCGCACGGACACATATCTTGACGGTACCTCCGGGGTACCTACTGTGTGTGTGTCTCTTGCACTTTCTCTTAGTCTTCTCGGCTCGACCCGACAGCATGTGTATTTCTGCTCCTCAATAAAGCCAGATTTGCACCTCCGATGCACCGCCTCCGTCTCCCTTCTCTCGGCACTACAATACGTTGTTTATTGCAGAAGATTTTAATCGGAAACCTTTTATACAATAAAATGAAGCTGCTAATATTTAATCATTAAAAAATAGTTTGTCATTTTTCAAGTGTCTTAAATGTGAGGAAATATTATTATGATTATTTTCAAATCAAAGGACTTATTCTGATTTATTTTCAAAGTGTGACAAACTTTATTAAATATTTTTTTAAAGCTTTAAATCTTTAGTTAAAACACTTTTTTTAAATAAAATTCCAAAATGTAGAAATAAAATGTGAAAGGATGACTGAGAATAAAGTCAGCCGTCTCCAGACTGACTGAAAGTTATTATAATATCATCTTTATAAAATAATTTATTAAGTTTAAGGTATTTTACAATAAAGAAATGGAGCTTAAAATTATACAAAATCTACACATTTAAAATAAACTTCTATTAATTATTTAAAAAAAGTAAATTATTAAATATGTAAATCAACAAACAAATAAACCGGGAAAACAAACTACTAAAAAATATGTTTAAGAGAAATGATAAAACTTCAGCGTTCTCCCGTGAATAAAACCATTTCATTTTTTAAATGCATATTTCATTTTGTGGGATCGTAATCATTCACACAATATTTAATATATAAAACTCAACTATTTTAGTGTCTTTGATGTACCTCTTTTTCTAGAAGCTTGTGTGTGTGTGCGTGTGTGTGTGTGTGTGTGTGTGTGTGTGTGTGTGTGTGCGTGTGTGTGTGCACATCTTTTGAAGAAGCTTACTTTGTTTTTAATTCATGTTTTTAATAATAATAAGCAGTTTGAACAGTGTTACAAGTTGAATCACATATAACATTACTGCTTTTAAATCCTCCTCTTTTATCTCAGTAAGCGCAAAAAAAAGTAATTAAACCGACAAACAGGAAGTAAACACTAAAGGGAACAGCAGAAGAAGACAGACAGGAAGTAAACACTAAAGGGAACAGCAGAAGAAGACAGACAGGAAGTAAACACTAAAGGGAACAGCAGAAGAAGACAGAGAGGAAGTAAACACTAAAGGGAACAGCAGAAGAAGACAGACAGGAAGTAAACACTAAAGGGAACAGCAGAAGAAGACAGACAGGAAGTAAAAAGGCACAGTATGGGCTCTGCAGTGTTTTAACAAAAAGACTTGGACAGTTAGAGAATGTGTTTTTATATGTGTCTCCCCCTGCGCTGCTACATCAGTAGAACTGACCAATCAGGTACCTGTAACAACTCAGTACCTGACACCCATCTCTAGTTACAGGTAGCAACATGCAAAACTAGCGGGGGCTTTCACACACACTCCACGAGGTTTAACTTCAGCTCAAGTTGAGCTCTTTGTAAATATACGGGTCTATCTCTCGGAGAGCATTGATCAGAACCCTGCAGGCTGCAGCTCCTTTTTGATGCACCGTGTCCACCACCTCTCGTGCTTTATCAAATTGGGGTTTCCCTCTGGCTGACGTCATTTCAGAATAAGTGATCACTTCCCGCTCAAGAAGTTTATCCAGAAGCTGTTCCAGAACAGCTTGAGACACTCTGTTAATGAACTCTGTCCGAACTAAGCGCAGCATCTGGTCTGCTGGGACTCTGCTCTCTGCTGAGACATTTCTCTGGGACAATTCCTTCCTTGGATCTGGAAGATAAACAGGGAAAATACTTTTATTGAATAACCAACAATCACATTAAACAGATCTCTTAACAATTAAAGTAACCCAACATTCCCAGAGGTGGATTTCTGTTCACTTGAAGTTATAATATGTAACATTTCCTCATTAAAATGTATAAAAACTCCTACACCGATGTTATTCATGTTTTGTTGAGTTGTGTACAAACATTATCTCAAATGGTTCAAAGAGACGTGTAATTGTAATCATGGTAACAGTACGTTCACCAAGGTCTCCTGTAATGGCGGTGTATCCACTTAACCATGAGAAGCTGAAGACTACAACTCCCATGATGCCATGCTGTTTCACCACCATACTAGTTTTTACTATAGTTTAGGAATATTACAGGTTGTGTGTTTAATGTCGTAATGATGCGCTGCCATGGAGCCTTAATAGAGAATGCTATGAGATGGAGCTTTAGAGTTATCCAGTCTATCACTGGGTCTGAGCCAGAGTCCTGCATCGGGTCGGGTACCTGACGGGTGACCGGCAAAAAAAGTGATTTGCGGCCGCTGGTGGTATTTTTTCAAACATTGTTTTCCGGGTTCGGTTCTGGGTAAAACAAAGAAGATGCGGGTCAGATCGCGGGTGTTGCATAATAAATATATTAAAATAATAATAATTGAATTAAATGTTTAAATCCTCAGACCTCTCCCCCGCGGGACCGCGCATAATCTGCACCGCATCAACCTGAACCGCATCAATCTGCTGCTGAGCGCACCACATTGGAAAACTGCGGTCAAGCCAGCCTCCACTTGGGAAAACGCAGTCAAGCCAGCCCGCACCTGATATTGCGGTGCGCGAATATCCTATGCATTACGGTAGAGTCCTGGAAAAACTGCCTTCAAAATAAAAGCGCTTACTCGGTCAATAACAAATACACCTAAAAAACATACCAAACATATTAAATTAAGAAATATGTACTATATAATGTGATCAATAATTATTTAAAACAAACTACGTATAACTACCACATTATAAATGAGTGAATGTAAAACTTAAGGAGTTTCAAAATAAAAGACCTTTCAAGTCTCATATATGAGCTATCATCTCTCTGTTTTTAGATAAGAATAAAACAAAAACTCTCCAGTATCAAAGACTCATTTCACTCCAGGGTGATAGCAGGACACCCCATCTAGTCACTCAGAGAAAAATCAGGACATTCTGATGTAGAGTTTCAAAATAAAAGACATTTGAAGTCTCTATTGTATGAGCTATCATGCCTCTGTTTTTAGATAAGAATAAAACAAAAACTCTCTAGAGTTTCAAAATAAAAGGGATGATAGCTCATATATGAGACTTCAAAGGTCTTTTATTCTGAAACTCTACATCAGATTGTCCTTATTATCTCTGAGTGACTAGTTGGGATGTCCTGCTATCACCCTGGAGTGAAATGAGTATTTGATACTGGAGAGTTTTTGTTTTATTCTTATCTAAAAACAGAGGGATGATAGCTCATATATGAGACTTCAAAGGTCTTTTATTTTGAAACTGTACATCAGAATGTCCTGATCTTTTCTGAGTGACTAGATGGGGTGTCCTGCTATCACCCTGGAGTGAAATAAGTCTTTGATACTGGAGAGTTTTTGTTTTATTCTGATCTAAAAACAGAGGGATGATAGCTCATATATGAGACTTCAAAGGTCTTTTATTTTGAAACTCCTTAAGTTTTACATTCACTCATTTATAATGTGGTAGTTATACGTAGTTTTTTTAAAATAATTATTGATAACATTATATAGTACATATTTCTTAATTTAATATGTTTGGTATGTTATTTAGGTGTATTTGTTATTGACCGAGTAAGCGCTTTTAATTTGAAGGCAGTTTTTCCAGGACTCTATCGTAATGCATCGGATATTCGCGCACCGCAATATCACGTGCGGGCTGGCTTGACTAGGTTTTCCCAAGTGGAGGCTGGCTTGACCGCAGTATTGGAAATGGCTGAGGTGAAGCTCTCGCAGAATACAGCATTGTCAATAACTCTTCCTCAAGAGCGAAATCCAACGTCTGGGAGGCTTTTGGTGTCGTCCTAGATGGAGAAAATAACCAACATCCCACGCTCATAGGATATGCGCAGGGGCGTCTTAGTGGGGGGACAAGTGGGACTGACTACCCAGGGCCCAGATGGGGGGAGGGCCCTTGAAAGGCATGGAATTAAAAGTTTGGTTTTATTTCAGTTTTCTTTTAGCAGATAGTGTCATAACTAAAATGAAACTAGCTCAATAAAATCGGAGTGACTGAATTCTGTATCCAAAAACAGATGGTGAAGGCTATCCGGGACCCCTCACAAAAGGACAATAACGGTTTAGTCCTCCCAGCACTAGTTGTCCTTAAGCCCCGCCTCCCAGCCGCTGAGCCGCTCTCGGCTCTGTCACATGAATGCAGGAGGGGAAATAACTCTCTGTTTTCGGCTTTAAGCGCATTTGAAAACTTTTACTATTTAATGATATAAATAAGGGCTATTCATGTGTTCATACTGGAAAGTTTACCTCAGAAAAACATTATAAGATTTACGGACGTCTCTTTCCCGATGTAATTCAATGAGAATTTGCTTCAGCGCCTGGCGAACTTCCTGAGTGGCTTGCTCTAAAGGTAGATAATTCAACGAAGAAGTAGAGGGTCAGCTAATGATTTTGCTAACAAGAAGACCTGTCAGTGTCATTTACTGGGGAATGAACTCCAAGAGAGTGACGAGTCCTAAAACCAGGAAGTGAGTTAGCATTTGACCAATACTGGTTCCCTCGTCTCAGAGCCAATGGGATCTCTCCATAGGATTTAGGAAAATATCTGTAAATAAGGTCTGTGGTTGAGACACATTGAAGAGACGGATCACGTTTTGTTCTAGGACATTAAATCCATCAGCAGTGACCCCACTGGTGATTTCTGAAGAGTTCACGTGTCTGAGAAACGATGGTTGTTACCAAGTGGCTGAATAGGACTACAGAAGTTGTGGAGGCCGTTGTACGTCATTACGCCGAACACGTAAACACTCCTCTAAGTTTGTTGGCCCTGTTCTGCTTGAAAGCAAGTACCTGCCTCCTGCAGACTGTTCAAACAAACACTTCAACTCGTACCATTTAGAATCTGTGTGTTTGAATATGGATCTGAAGTTGGCGTGACGTTGAAGTCGTGCTGCTGGACTCGCCTGTAGTTCCTTGGTAGCATAACGTTAGCATTTTGCTTCTGGACATTAGATTTATGATTCGAACATTATAAAATTATCCGGCTGAACAAAACGAAGTTAGACATTCTCCATATTTGTTCAATAACTGCAAGATCAATCATATTATCCAAAGCAGAACTTGTAAAGATTTCTCAGCTTTCTAAAGTTTTAATTATTGAGCTTTTTGGCATATATGCTTTCTGATTTGTTGTGTGTTATTGATTATGCAAATAAACATGACTTGTGAAGTCTTGTTCAGTTGTCTGTTATTATGCAGTATAGTAAGCACTCTCTCAAGGTAGTGGTTACAAAACTAACATGGTGTTTTTTTTGTTTTGTCTTATACCGTGGGAATGATAAATACTTAAATAAGCATGATACTCAAAGCAAACCTCATTTAACCACAGTAAAGTAATTGTAAACTACAGTATGTTTAGGAAAGAGGGTTGAAATGTGCACAGATTGTTATTACTTCTATTATGACTATTTATACTTTAGTTCTACTTTAGTTCATAACCGCTTCAGATTCATGTGTACTGTTGTTGGCTCAGTCCTTTGTAAATACATTTTAAAAGGTGCATTAGAGACATGGATCAAGAGAGGAAGGGGGCCAACAGAGATAGCTTATGTATGGGGCCCGGAGTTTTGTGCTACGCCCCTGGATATGCGGGTTCGGGTCGGTTTGCGCCGTAAGAAGAGAGCCGTTCAAATTCTCTAGATCAGCGGTTCCCAACCTTTTTCAACTCAGGCCCACTTAAGAATCCAAAATGTTTTCGCGGCCCACATTCAACCATAAACAATACGGAGGATAAATAAAGTTCTGATTGGTCGATTCAGAACATGTGACACATTGTAAATCCAGTAGAACAGACCGTTGCTAAGGACTGTAATGACCGTTGCTAAGGAGGATCAAGAAAGAGAAAGGAAAAGAGGTTAAAATTGAAAAGAATCTTAATAATGAAAATGTTTCCACACAAATCATAATGTTTTGCTAATTATTTGGCGGCAAATATTGAATTTACATTTACACCCTTTAATATTTTATTTGGGCTTTTAGATGAAGACCGCACACAGTTAATAAATACAACTATTCTCCTGGCTAAAATACATATTTTTAAAAGTCAATCAACGAGTAATCTTAATTTAAGGTGTTTGAAGAGTAGATTAAAAATATCAAAGGGTGGCTCAAAACGCCATGACATGGGAAATAATGAGCTCTAACGAAGAGTTAAATAATTAAATAATTTGGCGGCCCACTTGCAATGCCTTCGCGGACCACTAGGGGGCCGCAGCCCACAGGTTGGGAACCGCTGCTCTCGATGATAGGAAAGGAGGTTTGATGGATGCAGATTAGAGACCTGTTCAACCAGTTATCCAACAACAGTGTACATTGTTCTAGATGTACTATAAACTGCATGGGTTTGCCTTGAGCCTTTCAACATTTTGACTCTGATGAAGAAAGAGTAGTGTCAAAACTAAACTGAAACTGTTTTCATTATCATAAGAGACAAAGAACACAGTCTGTGCTAAATGTATCCTAAGTTTAACACGATTAGAGGACTATGTGTTTAACTGCTCTATTAAATAGTTTTGGGGCGAAATGTAAAGCCACAAAATCTATATTTAAATATATCAAGATGTTTTCACAGCAGAAATGTTGACATGCTGCCACAGTCAGAAAAACACAGTGCACATGCCTACAGTTTTTTAACCCAAGGTCATTTTTGAATACATGAAAGGATGTGTGTTTGTTTGGGTAAAACAGGAAATCAACTCACTGTTACTGGATCCAGGTTCTGAGTATTGAACACCTGTAGCTGCCACTGAAATAACAAAGAACACAACGTTAGAAAGTAATATGATGGACTTACAGTTTGACAGGTTTCCTGAGGTTTGTCATGTTTTCTTTATTTCAGAGCTGGGTTTGAGCACGAGAGTACTCATGATTTAACTCACTTTTAATGTTTATCATGTGAGACAAAGTCCACAGTTCTCCTTTAGTGCTAAATTGTACGTTTAACAATGTTTAGTTAATGCGTGTTTAACTCGTATATTACATTGTTATGAAAGCACAAGGGAGGGTTCAAAGGTCTGCATATGAATGCATGCAAAGAGCTTTCCTTTTTAACCACAGATATTTGGATTACAAAAAAGGACCTTATTTATTAAATTTTTTTTGATAAATCATTTCTTATTGAGTTACACTGTATAACTAAATAAGGATATACACTGACATGACTCTAGACTAGAGGAAGTCTGGCGGGTCCCTGCCCACTATAGAAAGGCGGTTACATTTCCTGAACTGTGTAGAAACATAAGAATAAAGGCTATTTCAAGTAAACCCTCATCGATTAAACGTTGTTATTTGTCGCTGATTAATCTGTTCTTCAGTCCAAACAGTTATATTCTCATTCTGCATCAAACCATGAAGTACTCACACAGTTCGTCTGCTTCCTTTTTGCAATTAATCTCGTTCAATAACTCCGCAGCCACTTCGACAGCTCCGGTATCATTGAAAGTGGAAAGCAGAACCTCTGTGATCTCAAAGTAGTTTTTTCCCTCCACCCTGATGCGTACGACCTGCGGCTCCCCTTTGCGGTGCATAAGCTCGTTGCAGAAATTGTCAAAGTCTACCTTTGTCAGGGTAGACAACATGTGTTTTACAGCCTTTCGTTTGTCCATTTTTCACCAACAGATGTGGGACTGCCGTGACTTTTTCTCCCTGAGCAGAATCAGAGGACACAGAGTTTGCTTCCCTTCTCTCTTGAACCGACTGCTGCCGCGCTCGAGAGGAAGCAGGGCGCCCCTCCCTTCAGCACGTGAACCAACATGTCTGAATACTTGTCCCAGAACTGCACCTAAACGTCAGTGTTTATTTCACTATGAATAGAGAGCCTGAATCCGTTTGTATTTTTGCAACAGACTGTAAAACATTATACATGCCAACGTAGTGGTTACGGAAATGAGCATGCACAGTATAGGTTTTTTATTCGTATTCACATTTTTTTGAGACACGATTTACATTTATTTGTCAGTGTTGCCATGGTGACTTGCATCTCATTTTCTCATACCTTGTCGTTTGCAATTGCCTATTTTTTCAAGTGCTGATTGTAAAAACAAGAATAAAGACAACTTAGCCTAAATAGATTCTCGCTATCGTAAAACTGATAAGCCTTAGTAATCTAATGATACACCCCTACTGTGCTATTGCTTCAGTCTGCAATGTTCAAAACAACAGATAGAGCCAGAAATCTAGGTGTAGTCATGGACTCTGACCTGAGTTTCAACAGTCACATTAAAACAGTTACTAAATCAGCCCACTATCACCTAAAGAATATATCCAGGATTAAAAGACTAATGTCACAGCAGGATCTGGAGAAACTTGTCCATGCTTTTATCTTCAGTAGACTCGACTACTGTAATGGTGTCTTCCCAGGTCTCACTAAAAAATCTATTAGAAAGCTGCAGCTAATTCAGAACGCCGCTGCTCGAGTCCTCACTAACACTAAGAAAGTGGATCACATCACTCCTGTTCTGAAGTCCTTACACTGGCTTCCTGTGTGTCAAAGAATAGATTTCAAAATACTGTTGCTGGTTTATAAAGCTTTGAATGGTTTAGGCCCAAAATACATGTCTGACCTACTGCTAAATTATGAACCATCCAGAACTCTCAGGTCTTCAGGGACTGGTCAACTTTCTGTCCCCAGAGTCAGAACTAAACATGGAGAAGCAGCATTCAGTTATTATGCTCCGAATATCTGGAACAAACTCCCAGAAACCTGCAGGTCCGCTGCAACTCTTACTACTTTTAAATCCAGGCTGAAGACTTTTCTTTTTGCCGCTGCTTTTAATTGAACTATTCACATCTTAAACTGCACTGTAACTTTTATCCATGTATTTTTTCTTTTAATGTTTATTTTATTATCTTTTCTTTTTAATGACTGATTTTAAATGCCATTTTCTTAATGTCTTCCATTTTTGTAAAGCACTTTGAATTGCCTTGTGTTGAAAGGTGCTATATAAATAAACTTGCCTTGCCTTGCCTTGCCTTACCTTACTGAGTAACTGCACTTATATTTCAATGCTTATGGTTTAGAAAGGGACAATAGACAACCCTCAGTGGACAAAGCCAAAGGTCGGTCTGCCTGCCAGGAGAGCAGCCTACTGAAAGATATCTTATCTCTTGTAAAGCTTTTAGTGCCTACAGCCAAGGCTATATGATTGGGATAGTTACTTGGTGTTAGTATTACCGAATGCATGTGAAGGCAGCACTTTATGTAACATCTATAAAATATCAACTCATTGACACACGGCTGGGTCATAAGGCACTTTCACACCGGAGTGCTTTTCCCCCCGAACTAGGCCGATAGGGGGGGGGGATTCGGTTTCACACCAAAAAGATCTGGAACTTGTCCCTAGTTCGTGCCAACCTTTTCACCTCCAGATAGTCCCTGCTAGAGAGGTGCTACTTTCTTGGGGAGGAAAAGGTTCGTGGGTGTGTCGGCCACACTAACAATTTCTGATTGGCTGGGCGAATTGCAAACCACGCCCCGTAAAACTCTGAAAGGTTTTGTGAAGCCGCCATTTTATTTGCCTGCATTAGCATTAGCCCAGCGCACCAACGGAGAGAGACTAACTTATGGCAACACAAAATAAAACATGGGAGCGGTGGAGTGATGAGGAGGTGTCGGCGTTCTGGCGATTTACTCGGAAGACGCGACCCAGCAGCTTCATTTGACAGAAGCATTTTGATGGGGGATTAATCGCCGCAGCGAGCGTCACCTGTCACTCTGATCCACACACACACACACACACACACACACACACACACACACACACACACACACACACACACACACACACACACACACACACACACACACACACACACACACACACACACACACACACACACACACACACACACACGTTCTTACACAAACAGAAAGTCACAGATAAATGCGGCTTTATTCCCTCGGTGACTTATTCCGGTGAGAACGCGATCTACTAGGACAGTTCCAGGGACTAAAGAGTTCGGGGGAACAAGTAGCGGGTACAAGTACCGGCTAAGTACTTGGTGTGAAAGCGGCTGCAGTGAAACTTGGAATGTTACAAAGAAGACGCTGCATGCAGATGAAAATTGGTTCACACTGCCAACAAACAGGCTTTGAGAAACAAACTGATTAAAACTGAGCTTTTAAAATGTGTTCATGGGCTGCAAAGCCACCGGTTAGAGCTACAGGGATGTGGAGGGTAAGTATTACGTAGACATAGACCTCCTGGTTTCAGACCACAGGATTCTACCTTCACCAAACGCAGAGCTCTAGCAGTGGTTCTGGATCAACTGAGGCAGAATCTAGATGCCTGTAACGACGAGGCAGAGACACTGACCGTGAAAAAGCAAACTGATGACTTGATTGATAATATCATTTAGGTTAGGATGGGATCTTTTTGTGTACAGATATCCAGGCTCTAAACTCTATTAGAAAAAGAGTAATATTGGATAACATTAACTAAATGGATTTAAGTAGGCCTACGTAGTTTATCAATATGAATGAATCCCTTTAGCTGCTGTAGCATATGGGCCTACATGAAGCTTTCGTGTTAGAATGGCAGGAATAGCCATTCAAATTAAATATTGTAAATGTGTCACTAATTTATCTGCAAGCAGACATTTAGAGTTCAATGATCTACAAACGATTAGGTTCTGTAATCAGTCTGAATAAAACCACAGCATTAAGATACTGAGTAAGAAATGAGACAGAATAATAACTTGAAACACAGGTTGAATGTCGGACACATTAACAGGCATGCTGTGATTGGCTTGCTAAACCTGGAGCTTGGCTTTGGGCATGAGATCACTTATGATTCAAAGCTTCACGATTTGGTTGTTCATCTTTTTTTTCAAGTACATCTTAAAACAATGGTCCCATGCTCCTATGTACTTTGTTTTTGTTAATGTTACGTGCCAGGCGGGCTGTCATGTGTTTCATCCTCCTCTGTTTTTAGGATTCCTATTTTTAACAGTGTAAAGAACAGTGATATATAAATAAAGACTTATATTATGTTTGTGCATAATCCAAAAGAAAACAATCCCTTTCTCCTGGAGGTGGATAAATGATCGACTCACTGCAGAGAGGCAGACATGACTCACGTTACATATTTCACTTGATGGATGCAGTACTTCCTGTACTTCTATCTCTTTAACTTTAAGATATGTGCGTGTTCCTTTGTTCTGGTGTTTTTAGAGAACATACCACATGGGGTGTGTTCCAACTGCCATCCTTGGATCCATGATGCAAAAGATTTGGAATCCTGTTCAGCCAGTTATCCAACAACAGTTGTACATTATTCTCGATTCACTAGAAACTGTATGTGTTCACTTCAAGCCTTTTACCAATCTGATTGTGAGGAAAGAGTCGTGAGAGAACTACACTGAAACAGTTCAGTTTCTCATCATTCCTCCATACTTTGGAAAGAGCTTCCTAACGCCTCACACTGTATACAATTCAAATCAATGTTTTTGTTGGATGTTTTCACAGCAGAAATGTTTACATGCTGCCACAGTAGGAAACACACACGTGGGGTGGTCAAAAGGCACATGCCTATTTTCAACCACAGACATTTTGAACACATAAAGGATGCTTTTTTGTTTGTTTTTAAAACAGGAAAACAACTCACTGTCACTGGACCCAGGTTTTTAGGGCTGTAAAGCAGTCGCTTCCACTGCAAGAAAGAAAGAAAGACACCAACAGAAATAAAAAGTCAGAATTTAAATTGCACATAAGCTACAGGTTAAACGTATAGGAACCATTAACAAACGTATTGTGAATGGTTCTAGACTCAAAGCTTGGGTTATATTTTATTATAATCATTTAGCTTTTTTTGTATTACTCTTTTAATGTTTGCTGTGCATCTGTTTGTTTGGTTTTTCTAGCACCTGTACCTCAGTGCATTTTGAGCTTTCCAAGCCCACTTCTGCATGTTTGGAAATGTACGCTGTGTACATGGGTTTTATTGTATAACATGTTGATGAAAACATTGTTCAAAACATTCTCCTATGTATTTGTTTGGGAAGCTTTAAAAAGCTGTTCATTTTGACATGAAAAGCACAAGTGGGGTTTACCAAGTCTATATATGTCTGCATGCAAAAGCTTTTGTTTTCAAGCACATGCAGAAAGAAGGACATCAAAGGAGTAATCATCTCTCATTGAGTTACACTGTATAACAAAGATATACACTGAAAGGACTCTATAGGAAACAAGTGGGGCTCTACCTTCACCAAACGCAGAGCTCTAGCAGTGGTTCTGGATAAACTGAGGCAGAATCTAGATGCCTGTAACGACGAGGCAGAGACACTGACCGTGAAAAAGCAAACTGATGACTTGATTGATAATATCATTTAGGTTAGGATGGGATCTTTTTGTGTACAGATATCCAGGCTCTAAACTCTATTAGAAAAAGACTAATATTGGATAACATTAACTAAATGGATTTGAGTAGGCCTACGTAGTTTATCAATATGAATGAATCCCTTTAGCTGCTGTAGCATATGGGCCTACATGAAGCTTTCGTGTTAGAATGGCAGGAATAGCCATTCAGAGTTTTGTTTAAAGAGCATTTTCTGTATCATGCAGGCGGCTTTTTAGGGATTTGTTCATGTAGAGGTGCATACATGTGTCAGGGCCTCATACACCTACAGTATATAAAGACACCTTCATTTACATGGAGACCTGCTTGTTTTATTCAATTGATGTTGCGAACGTGTGGAAGATGAGGAAATAGAGAGACAATACAGATCATTATCAACAATGGCTTTGA